TTCCAGCAGCAACCTTAGTTTTTCCCATGAGGTCTCCCTTCCAGGTACTGACCAGGCTCACACCTGCTTAGCTTCAGTGGGTTGCCAGTTGTGAGTTGCAGGGTGATATGTCTGCTATATTTGTATATTTTGTCTCCACGTATGGTATTTGAAGATGCTTGTGATGCTGACAACTGTGGACAGTAATGACAGGAAAGTTTAGCACCAATTTTGGCAAGTTTTGTCTTTTTAGTTTCAGGACGTTGCCTGTATCAGTGTGAATGTGCCATCTTCAGCGATTTTACTGTAGACAGCATCTCTTTTATGTCCTTTGAAGGGCTTGCACCAATCTGACATCCTGGTATTACGATTTAACGAAAGGTAATGCTGTCCATAAGCTCCTCACATGAGTATGAGAGTACAGTTGGGCACATCTCTTTAATAGATATGGAACTTCTATGGCATTTCAGTAAATGAAAGTTGACAAATCCTTTAGAACGATAAGAAAATCTAAATTTGACACCTGTGCCAAATAACAGGAAAATAAATGTATCAATAGTCTAAAATGTTTATTATATGTTCAAACAGGTCATTTTTTAAAAGCAAACAAGTCCTATACACCTTATGCTACTTAATGAGTGTGTGAAGCTTAGTTCATGTTTGTATTAGGGATCTTGGCCTAAACATGCTTGGAAAAAATGTAGCTGACCCTTGGAACATCTCCCTTTCAGCTAGATGGGAGATGGGAGACTGAGGCACTGGTGTTTGGGGGTGAGTGGGCATTTCCCAGCTTCACCACATCAGGGTGGAGTTGGCACCACAAGGAGACATTGGCTGGCTATGTGTTTGCTGAGACTGAGTAGGGCACACTAATGTTGCTTTTAAAAATTTAAGTCATCTTACACTCTATCTCCTTTGCAAAATATCCAAGGTAAAATCCTTGTCTCAGAAACTACAAAGGCTGCACTCTTTTCCTGTATGCAAAAAGGTATTCATTGACTTTTTACTTTATCTCACAATTCATCATACTCTTCAAACTTCATTTCTCATATTCCTCACATTTTATCTTCAGTGTTTCATTACCTATTTCAATTTAACATCATTTTGTTCTTAAAGAGTCTGTGGAAAGGTACAGTAGAACATTCAGTTTTGTCTCATGGTACAAAGTAAACACTGAATATATTACCTTTTCTCCTACAACACATCTGGTGAGGCAGTTACAATGAAAACTAACAAAGCAGTTAAACTCTAATGTGTAATGCATATCAACTTTATATTGTAAAACACCTGATATCTTTCGAAGATTATCAGTTTTACCAGAATACTGTGGGGCTGTGTCGTTTTACGAGTAAAATTGAAGATCAATCTCTGTAGTGAATAAAAGGTTCAGTCCCTTATTGGCTTTGATAAAACACTATGGATTTAAATATGTCTTTATTTTCATATGGTGCCTGGGATGCTGAGGTTTGCAGTTTGCATGGTTTTTAAAGACGAGAACTAAAATCCAAATGATTTAATGTTAAGGCTGTAATTTTTCTTGGTTGTATTAAATCCGGTATTGGAGAGTTAAATACCATTATAAACAGTTTTAAAACATGTCAATATCACTCCACCCAGGAAGAGGAGCAGCTACTTAGTGAGTGCAATATCCTGCAAAGCGGTTTCAATTGGAGTTTCTCTCTTCTTTGTCTAATGAAGAAATAACCTTGTGCCATCCTCAGAACGAGATGTTAAACTGAAGTTCTCAGCTCAATTAAAGACCCCACTCTTTGTGAAAGCAGTGTCCACAGCCCTGGGTCACTGGCTAAGATGCACTGCTGCCTAGCTCTGCCTGGCCTCCCTAACTCTCTCCTTCAGCTGGTGAAGAGATTTCCTGCCATGTACAGTATCACCTAGCCTGTACCCCCTTTTTGTTAAAGCAATATAGAATCCTTTGCTATAGAAAATGGCTTTAAAAACTGACTTTGCTAAAAGTAGATATATAAACCACACTGTAGTGGCCTCAAGCAATTTATCACTCATACACAGTTTTGATGCTGATATACTATATCTAGGTTTATGCTTGCACTGCAGGAAGTAAGCATTTCCACATCAGAATTCATTTAAAGATACAAATGCACTGACATGAACAGCACAAATTGGAGGTTTTGTGTAATGAGCAATTAAAACTAAAGGAACTTCTTTTGCATGGTGAGATGGAGAGAGAAAATAATTTTGATACAAAGTGGACTGAAAATGGATAACTGCCATATAATTATTCAAGGAGGCTTCATCAATCGTGATAGCAATCTCTTTTCTTTCAAAAGGGGAAGCTTTTTTTAATGACAATAGCACTGACAAGTTGCGAAGGTTATTAATGCCCTATTTACACCAGAGTTAAAATGGGTATTGGACCCCTGAGGCTCATTAACAATTCCAAAACATTCAAGCAGACAAAATCAACTTCAGGTGCCCCGACAGGGAAAATGTAGTAGGTACCTGGGCTGATACAGGAAAGCCTTTGTTGCTTATATTCCCTTTGACCAGTATTTTGAGAATACTAATTAAGAGTGAGTAAGGCCTTTGTTAAATTACAAGATGACAATTCGCAACAGATAAAGTTTATAATGACTATACAGCAAGATAACCAGGTTCATCCTGGTTGAAATCTGTGCGAGACCTTAAGAAAAAATCTTTTTTGCACCTTTGTTCACGAGCCTAGGGAGAGAAGACCTCTCCTGTGAAAACACTGTTTGAATGACAAGCATTAACCTGTTCCACACCATTACAGAACAGCTGTAAACTAGATAAGAGCTCAGCTTATTGATACCAGCAGCTTACCGATACCCATTCCGTGAACAAAACTGCTTTGTAATCTCAGGTGCCATTACAGTGAATGTCTTAGCACTGCGTGTGCTCTATTCTTACACGATCACATTTTTGTCTAAATGCTCAGATGTGGTGGCTCTTGCTCTCACATTGTCCATAACATTCCCGGCCATCTTCCTCTTTTCAGTAATGGCTGATCAGTCCAGCAGAACTATTATGAAAACGTCCCTTTGAAATATTTGTTTTATCACGTCCTTTATGTGCACTGCATCAACTAAAATGTCCAGCAGTGAAAGGCAGGGAGCGATAGATGTAGAGAAATGGCATGTGTATTGAGAAATGAGCCTCAACCACACTTTTTTCTGAACATGAATAGGAAACAATTGCATCCTGTTTGCTCTGTGTGCACACATCACCCTGCACCAACCGAACAGCTGACAGGAGCGCTGGGCGCTGAATGGCACGGGCTGGCATTGAGGTCCTTTGCAGCCGAATAAGCTCAGGGCGAGCACAGCCCTGCTTAATTGCAATCAGCTTTTTTTTTTTTGTTTGCCCAGAAGTCTTGTTATAGGAAGGACTGTCTGAATGCAGGTGCTGTCCGGGGCAAATCTTGCCATACAAATACAAGCAATTAAAAGCCCTTAATCTGTGCACTGCAAGACATGAGGCCTGGGATTTACAGAATTTAAGCTTTTCATTTTGTACAATCCAAAGGTGTGTGTTGTTTTACCCAATTCAGACTCTGACCACAGATTTTATGTATGAGATTCTGCACAGCAAGCTCACACTCACCACACAGAGACGAGGTTTGTCTTGGCTCCTACCCTGGGGACCCCTCCTCAGTTAGAACACTTTTCTTGAAGAGTACAGTGGTCTAAACTCTATGGATAGGTGAAAATAGGACATTCAACTCAGAGGAAGTCCTATATCGCAGACCATGTGAAGCAGTGGGAGAGGAAGAAAAAAACGGGCCTCATAGGCAGAAACTTTTACCTCCAAATTTACCATTCGCCAGCAGTTTGCTGAAGCAACCCGAGTGGAGTACCTCCCTCCAGGAAGTACTTCAGATTTGGACCCAGAACTTCCCAGCTCCAGAATCCTGCCACTTCTCCAAACTGCTGCTTCAGCAGCTCAGAAAACCTGCTCTGTAGTATGCTGGCAATGAAGAGCTCATCAATCTCAAGTACAAATTGAAGAAATGCCAATTGTAAATCTTTAATTTGTATATAATGCATTTGAACAAGTCACATTTGTGCAATTTGCATTTGATTGTGAATGTGAAAAGTCTGACAAGGCCTTTTTAGAGTGTGATCAGCTAATTATTGCATTTCACTAGACATTGTTTCTCTAGCAGGACTTCAATAGGGCAGCTGAAAGAACACTCAGAAAATAGCCAAATCTGTTAAGACTGTCAGATATCACAGGGAGAATGGCCCTATTAGAGCCGCTCAGTTCTGAATGTGGTAATACTTGACAGTAATTCATTTGTACTCTTTGAATCAAAGGTAACTATAGGCCAGTGTATAGGCTGTCTGCATCCCAGCTAACATACTGAAACTATTGCAGAGACAGCAGAGGACAGGCTTACACAGTACAATACAGTTGTATTGCATGTCTACACCCATGCAAATAGAGCAAAACACCGAAGCAGCTTCAGCTGCAAAACTGAAACAGTATTATAGATTACAGGATTCTGAATGCCTTAAATTCTGAGATTTTTTTATCAAAATGGTTCAAACAGCTTTAATTACGTGTGGCTACTGTTAACATCCTTGTTAAAGGAAAACTCCAGAAGCAAGCTGATGCTACAAACTAGGCTTTAAATGTGTAAATGTCAGCCGAATACTATCGAAACATTTGTCATCCAGGTGGGGCTGCACATTGGTGGTGGCGGAGGAGAGTCCCCATTACCTGTAAGGTGCTTTGAGAGGAGTGTCCAGAAAAGCGCTATATAAGTGTAAGAAATTAATAAACTGTAAAGACTGCCACCGGTTTTCCCTTATAATCCCATCTCCAACTCATCACCGTGGAATTTCACTTTAGCATAAGGATGCATGTGCTTATTTTTGTGTCAACGCAAGGTGATGGATGGTCATGTAGATTGTGTATCCTGAAGTGTGGGCTTCCTCGGTTACTAAAAACAGTGTGGATTTCAACATGCCTTCATAATATTAAAGAGATTTAAGAGAACATATGACACAAAAGCCACAAAATTGCAAAGCAAAGACCAGTTTTATTTATTCCGAGGACTCATTTTCCCTCAGGTGCTGCTGATGTGATTAAATCCCTGGGAAATTCTTTTACAGTCCCTTTCTACAGCTCAGGTATTCATGGAGTTCTGAACCACTGTGTTATCATTATGGCAAGAAACACCAGACAGGTGGGCCATAACTATGACCCAAATCCATTTATTGTACGGTGTGAAGTTCAAAGAAAAAACAGTGATGCAGCTGATGAGACAAGCAAGTTCTGCTTACTTAGCAAAAGGTGCAACATCCTCTTTTGAAAAATTGGTAGCATTTACAAGACACTGGTTTCAAAGACCTGATTTGGATGAAGACCAGAGGGCGATCTGGTCAGATGTTAATATACAAGTAACATTATGATAGCCTCAAAGGCACTTAAAGTGTGGACAACCCCCTTGGCAGCTTCAGAATGGGGACTATGAAGCAGAGTTCAAGGGAAACATGGATATCACACCACAAACAACTAGCAGCAACAGAACTTGTCACCTTCCAAAAAACTGGGAACCACAACTAAAAAAAATGGTGGGAAGCTACCAGTTCCAAAAACAGTTGGCTATCCACACACAAAGAAAAGAGGTAACTGTTAAAAATCTCCTGGAAATTGTGTACAGGAAGCACTTTATGAGCACTGCTTAATTTTTTTGAAAGAGGCTACTGCACCTTTAACTTAAGCTTTCTAAATAGTAAGTTTTACAACCACCCAAATGATAAACAGGTAGTTATTACGCAGATTGAAACACCTCTTGGCCAATTAAATAACCAGTTGAGAAGATTAAAATTCTATCACTATCTGGCAAATTAACCAAATTCTTTGATTTTTTTTTTCCTTTATATAGAACACTGACTTTCCAGACAAGCAGCTTTTATACCCACGCTGACACCATGTTAGACAAAAGTTTTGTACTTTAATAGAATGCCCTTTTAAAATCTATTTTATATAACAAGCCTTTTTCTTTTCCTTAGCTAAGACATAATACACAAAGTGTAATCTAAGTAGATTTGTCATCTTAAACATTTTTTAAACCAAAATATTTTCCTCTATCTTCATTGTGCATTCACTGAATGACAAAGTTACTGGTGACTACCAGAATTCTCCTGTACAACTGTCACCTTCTAAAACAGGCCAGAAAACAGCCAAATACAAAATTTATTTCAATTTTGCTTTGTTTTTGAGGGAGGTTAGGGAAGGGTGTGAGAATCTGTTTGTATGTTTTTTCAGGGATTTTAACGCAACACAAAAAAAATAGTAGTCCTCTACCACAAAGAAACTTTTATAAAAAGGACAGGTTCCAGAACTCATGTCCTGGCCGATCAATTGTTCTCAATCTGTTCTAGATCCAAGTCTACGCAGTCCAGAGGAAAAACGCCCCCTTCGTTGCTCTCACAATCGCTGGTGTCCTCATCGCTCTCGCTCACAGCCGCTGTGCTGCTGAAGGCCCGGATGTGGCAGGCAGTGCTGTGGCATGAAGCAAGCCTGTGGAGCCGACACAGGCCCTCCTTCATGGGGCTGGAGCCAGGGGTGATGACGTTCATGAGGTGGTCGCTCGAGTCGCAGGGCGACGAGACAATGGTCTTCATGTGAGGGTCATCATCCTCCTCGTAGTCCAACGAGCAAAGGCTTTTGGAGTTTTTTAAAGTCTACGGGAGAGAGGAAAATACTGTCAAAATACTGTCAAGTATTGCAGAGGGTGCTGGAGCAAAGCATTAATGAGAAGTCAAGAGCTTGACACCATGGGGGAACATAGGCATACTGTCTTTCATAACTTCGAAGTACCATAATTATTGAAATTTGCCGACGTGCTTGACAGGACATTCACTTCAAACTGCAAATCCCAAGCGCTTAGAAAATCGTATGACCTTGCTACCACTACAGATGTCAATAGTGAATCATAATAGTACAGAGAAAATTACCATTTAGAAACTTAGCAAGCATGTGTTTGGGAGAAAAACACAAACATGGGGAACATGCAAACTCCACACAAACAGCCCCAGTCCAGATAAATGCAGCTGTGATGCAAGTCCTCACTGCCATGCCACTGTACAACCCTTGATTGCACTAACAGAGGCACAACAAATCAGCCTGCAATGCTAATTTGTTTACTAGCTCATTAGTCATTAATGTAGATTTCAGTAGCAATTAGGGGAAGAAAAATAGGACTGATCTAATTTAACAAAACTTGAAAATGGGGAAAAAAACAATGTTCAAGGCATATGGCTACTTTAACTGTTATGTCAAAAGAAAGCACATACCTGCACCTGTTAAAAGTTTACAAAGTCTGAAAAGGCACTTCAAAATCTAAATCAGGGATGGGGAACCTCCAAATGCTTAATGATCACAAACTATGATATTGATGACTAAATCAAGCACTTGATCCTTTTCTTGGCTGTTCTGAAGTCGGACATGAGATGCAGGGGGGAAAAAAATGATGACAAAATTCACAAGAACACTATCGGAAGGTTTAAATGCAGTCTGGCCTGGCTGATTAGATCAATGCGGGAAATCTGTCAAGCGAAATTCCTTCCTTGCTATACGGTCAGATAAACTGTACATTTTGAGGTATAATGGGTATAATTATGTTATCGCCTCAGCAGATCCGCAGCTGCCACGCGGAAAGATGCTTGATGAACTGGCTCCCTATCGGAACAGAAAATCACTTGAGTGGATTGTTTAAAACCATCATCTAGTCCTGAAATGTTTTCGGCTGTTGCTTCTAACATTGAGCAAGCACTGTGCATATTGGTGACAATACTTCTGCCCAGAACAGCTCCACTATGATAGATACTGCCCAGTTTTAGCAGCTGAGACGAGCTTTAGTAAGCAAAAAAAAAAAGCAATCCATCTTAAAATACGTCCTTGAGGAACTTAGTTGTTAGTAACCCTGTTTTAGATTAATTGTTAGTGCAATGTAAGAGTCTGAATTAAACCAAGACCTGCACCTCCTACACAGAAAAACCCACATGCCTGGCTCTGAAACAGGCTCTGGCCAGGACCACTGACACCCACTTCAGCAATTAGCAAGCAATTATGCAATGCAATATACACTCCTTTAGACTCCTATTGTTTCAGTAGTGCCACAGACACTAACATACCAGTGAAAGTCTCAATGACCTACTGCTCAAATTTTGTTTTTCTCACAAATCTCATCAGAAAAGTTGATACTTTCAAAGATGCCATCATCCCAGATTTCTTTGTTGGACTTTTTGGTTTTGCAGCAGTAGTCAGCTGAATGATATCTTGGGCTGAAATTTACATGGACACAATATGGTGCAGATAGGGCAGTGCTTAACTTTTCACTTGCATCCCCTTGGAACTTTGATTCAGCTGCAAGCCTACGTTAAATACACTCAGGTTTAATTGAAGATCACATGTCCATGAGCTATGCCTTTCCTAAATATACAGCCAGAAGTGTATGAACTGTGCTAAATGATTGTTTGAATGAGGTCGCACTTGTGGGTGCAGAAACCGTAATTTCGGAAACATGCCAACTTAAAACTTCTTCATGGAAAGTGGGAACTGCTGCCATTACTCAATCAGAAATTTAACAGAGAAGCCCATTATGAAATCATTCCAAAACCCCCCAAAACACTACTACAAATCTAGGTCCTTGCCTTTTTTTTACAAACCCCTACAGATTATTTTTTCAACCTCCCCTGTTCTGACCATTGAAATTATGGAATCTTACTGGAATCTTGTATCAGATGGTACAAAACACTGGCTGCCAAGCACAATGAAGTCTACTCATAGTTCATCTCAATTAGATTCACAGGTTGCAGTTCAACTTCAAGACTGTCCTCAAGCATCTTTAGACTAAGTTATGTTTATATGCGTCAACTACAATCCATTGTACCCTAGTGTTAACTCCTATACTTAAGACCTGCACGCTGAAGATGCACTAAGTTCTGACAGCCCAATCAGACAGTCTCTTCCAGTTAATATCCCTAGAACAATTCCAGTGAGTGCTACCAGCTAGTCTTTAGGCCACAAAGGTTACTAGAGCCCTCATTAGTTAAATCTGACCGTAAGACAACCTCTGTTGCCTCTATACACAATTCCATTATGTGATATATTTTTACTTATTTTATATTTGGAACATTGCTCATAATGTTAAGATTTCTTTAAGTGAGTTCACTGTATATATTTAAAAGTCCTGTGTCTTGTTAATTAGTTCCAGGTGATCTCATTTTTGAATCTGCAGATTACCTACCAGAACTATTTAACTTGAATGTTTTCTATCGCAGTTTCTCCACTCTGCCGGAGCTCAAATTGCTGTATGGCAATAGCACATAACCCTTATACAACAGGTAAACAACTAAAAACCAAATTCTCAGATGCAGAAAGTAGAAAGCTCAGCTATAACAAGACTACTTAACTCCTAAACATCTGCCTCTGAAATGACCAAATGTATTTTTAACAAGGAAACCTGGTACTTAGTGAACAGCAGAAAGAAGTAAAAATAAAACTGCTGACAAAGTATGCGGCAAGTGCCACAATTTAAAAAAGAAAACTCGTCATCCTGAACAGGAAACAAATCACATAATGTCTATAGCACAGTATCATAACCTATGTGCTACCGAAAGGTCTGTACAAATTGTAAAAACATTTGTTGCCAAGAATGCATGAGTATTAAACTGAGGGGAGAAGGATTTTTTTTTTTTAAAAGCTGAGGTTTAACACAATTGCCTTTCCCTTGGCCCCCTGCTTCATTGCTCTTCAGACTATTCCGTCCTTGTGCTGCAGAAGCACAGAAGGTTTCAGGCCACAGAAAATCACTTCATTAAATGCCATTCCCGGCCTAATTTTGCATTGTGATCCTCTGAGCTGATCCAAAAGGGAAGCAAAGCGCCAGATGCTCTCAGTAGCTGCCACCTTAGTGGAGCCTCATTCACTATTCCAAGAAAACCTCCAGGCCTTTTATTCAAAACCAAGTACCCCCAGCCTGTTCTCTTCTGTAGGGGGGACAAAGAGCTGACTTGTCTGCGGCTTACTCCCAACGCTTGATTATCATCTCCTGGCCCTGCCTACCACTATCGCCTTTCCTTCTTCCCAAGCCTGCTGGAATTTGAACTTTAAATGGATGTCCTCTGCGGGAACAATGGATAAAAAGGGAGCCTTTGATTGTTCATGCGTCGCTGAAAAGAAAAGGACCTAGACCCATCCTGGCTGAGGCGTAGCAGGACCTTGAGCAAGGCCGCCGTCCTCAATTGCAATGGACCGACTTAAGCCTGCGCCCGCTCATTCAGCCTGCTGCGCGCATATTTCCATACCCCACCCCCTGCAGCACATTCCCCAGGTTCCAGACATTTAACATCTTTCCTTCGAGAGCCGCGGAGATGCGGTACGGGCCCCCCCTTGTACAGCACGCCAGAAGGCACTCAGACCCTTTAAATTCAACCTGAAGATCACACTAAAAACACGAAAGGATGGGAAGTCAAGAACAAAACAGGCAAATCTAGATTTATGTTCTTGATCTCCAGTCCTGGAAATGAAGTTGGTACAGGAAGACGTCCTCAAGTTTGCACTTCAGCAGTAAGAGGATTCTTATAAAAAGTTAGTGAACAAGTGCCAGCAGGGATTTCTCTTCATCCCAGGTTTCCAAATCCAATACTGCGGACTGCAGGGCTAATTCATACCGCTAATTCATACCGCTAATTCATACCAATTCTGTCATCTACTGCCAGAACACTCCTGTTACATCTCCCTCCCCCTGGGTGAGGTTTATGGTGTCTTATCTTTCTTTGAGCTTAAATGCAAAGTCATCAGATATTGCGCTGTTCGAAAAACACTGATCTGAACCCAAGGTTTGTCTCATCTTTTGAATGGCTGCTGCTCATATAATCCATAAACTGAATTAAAGACCCTGCAGCCTAAGATGCAATTATATACTTCTTTTAGAATGTACTATTTCCCTACCGCCTAATCAGACCACAATAAAATGCTTGCTTGAAAAGCCGTAACTTCTGTTAAGTTTTGTTCTGTAGTTATGCTACAGAAATTACTTGATTTTTTAAATGGCTTTGAAGACTTTTGCTTTTCGAATTGAAGACTCCGCTCCTTTGAACTGCAGGAGAAGAGACCTGCTGACGTACTTTTTTGACAAGGGAGCCTGTTAGAAACATCCATCCGTCCACAGTGCAGGCCCTGCATCGCCCGACAGAAGAGTCGGCCCTGACTGGAGGAGCAGAGCACATCCATCTAAGATTGCCAGAAAGCTGCACGGAAGGTTGGAGGAGGTGCTGTTTTGCCGATAAACGAGAGCCCTGGCCAAGTCAAGCCCACTGTCTCCAAGCAGTGGCACAATCCAGGCCATGAATTTGTAACCTGATGAGCGCAGGTAGGACTCATTACAGTTCCATTACCAGCACTCTTTTTACCATTTGGAAAAGACTCCTTCTGGGGCTGGCCGTGCTGGCAGTGAGCTGTAACCCTAATAGGTGGGGGTCCTCTTGAAATAAATGCTGAGCTGTGTCAAAGGTTGCTTCGAAGGAATTGCAGGAGGTGGTGGTGAGGGGGGTAGGGGAATGAGGGTTGAACACTGCTTCCACTTAGCTGCAAGATGAAATTAAAAAATCGTCCTGTCTCACCCACATGCTATCAAGATAAATTCATAGCTACCACTGCTTTCAGGGTATGTGTTTGC